AGAATCGGTTGAGGTGGGGTGGCGGGGAGGGGGAGGTTGGGTGGCGGGGAGGAGAGGAGCGAGACACTCATTGTGGAGCAACTGAATGGCGACCGTCTAGACGTTCTATTAATAGACAGCGGTACATGAGTCAACGCCAGTTCTTTCCCCCCTCCCCAACTGATCATGCGCTGTCTGGAGAGCCCGTCGTCTCATGTCAAAATTTGTCTTTAATTTTTAGTTACCTAAACTTTTGAACTTTCTATCAAAGTTCCTCTAATTCGGAGTCTTGGCACGTTCGTATCTCGTTGCCCCTCCTTCAAGTTCGTAGAGAGAAAAAAAATGAAAATATTTGCACAGTCTGATGGAATACGTTCTGAGGACTACTGAAATTTCGTATAATTCGATTGGTAAAATGCTTTCATATTAACATGCCAGCAATCCCGCTTCCAGTCAGCAGCCATGTAATTACTCTCACAAGATGCTTATTTGGCTATGTTCACTGGAAAACACTTGTATACGGCCATACAGTGTGACGGAGCTGAAGGACTGACCATAGGATCTTCTGGGGGTGCCTAGGATTGTATCGAAGAAAAATTCTCCACAAACATAATTATGCTTCAGACTGTTGAAAAGAATGTCTGCCACAAAAATTCATTGTTTCAAGTTTTTCTCTTTAAAAAATCTTGAAGGCTCAAATGTTAATTAAAATTATATCTGGTATCGCAGCTGTAGCTGAAACTATCTTACTCCATCCACCACCATACGTCTGACGTCACAATCATTATACGGCACATTGCAAGGTCAAAAAAGTTTTTAGATTCACGTAAAATACACTTTATAATAAAAATAAGCGGCTTAGTGTTCTAGTTATAATATCCACTTTCAAACACTTCCATAAATCAACACTCTCGATATTTCTTATAATTTCACATTTTTACGTAAACATTTCACACTTGAACAAACTTCTTTCATATCACGTGGTCTAGACACGATCAGAGCTCCCGTCACCTATATTCCGTTACATTGTTAAAGCAGAACACAGACGAAATACCTTGCAACATCCAGCTCACTTACCTAACTCTTTTAAAGTGTTTATAGTTCTGTAATAAAGTTATACCGAGATTCAAGGAGCATTGTCCTTCTCCCTGTGAAATTACGTGTTCCGTGGTGTTAATGTCCACCCAAAAAAACCCAAGAAAGACAGAAAAATGTCTTTCATCAATTATTTACCTTCTTGACCGGTTCAATGTCCAGTTTGACTGACCTTCCGAAAACATGACGGCTTGTGTTTAGTCATTATTGATACAGCAAAGCGTTCAACTATGTATACACCACTTAAACCGTCACACAAAGCTCCGAGATACGCTGTCTATTTGTGTTCTACCCTTTTAAAGAAATGTTGGCACTTGGCAAACCTCTGTAGGTGGTAACATTGTTATCCTCAGATGTGATGGAGTTCATCTTTTAGCAAACGCTGTATCTTCAGTGTCTCCGATCAGGCCCTTACCGTGTCACCGTGTTTGGTGATAAACCGTTCCCCAGTACCCCAGGCTTGTCTCCTTGTTGGGATTTCGGGTAGATCAGTACTCTAGTACTCCATGCTTGTCTCCTTGTTAGGATTTCGGGGTAGATCAATACCCGGGTACCCCATGCTTGTCTCCTTGTTGGGATTTCGGGTAGATCAGTACTCTAGTAATCCATGCGTGTCTCCTTGTTGGGATTTCGGGTAGATCAGTACTCTAGTACTCCATGCATGTCTCCTTGTTGGGATTTCGGGTAGATCAGTACTCTAGTACTCCATGCTTGTCTCCTTGTTGGGATTTCGGGTAGATCAGTACTCTAGTACTCCATGCTTGTCTCCTTGTTCGGATTTCGGGTAGATCAGTACTCTAGTACTCCATGCATGTCTCCTTGTTGGGATTTCGGGTAGATCAGTACTCTAGTACTCCATGCTTGTCTCCTTGTTGGGATTTCGGGTAGATCAGTACTCTAGTACTCCATGCTTGTCTCCTTGTTGGGATTTCGGGTAGATCAGTACTCTAGTACTCCATGCTTGTCTCCTTGTTGGGATTTCGGGTAGATCAGTACTCTAGTACTCCATGCTTGTCTCCTTGTTGGGAGATTTCGGGTAGATCAGTACTCTAGTAATCCATGCTTGTCTCCTTGTTGGGATTTCGGGTAGATCAATACCCAAGTACCCCATGCTTGTCTCCTTGTTGGGATTTCGGGTAGATCGGTACTCTAGTACTCCATGCTTGTCTCCTTGTTGGGATTTCGGGTAGATCAGTACTCTAGTACTCCATGCTTGTCTCCTTGTTGGGATTTCGGGTAGATCAGTACTCTAGTACTCCATGCTTGTCTCCTTGTTGGGATTTCGGGTAGATCAGTACTCTAGTACTCCATGCTTGTCTCCTTGTTGGGATTTCGGGTAGATCAGTACTCTAGTAATCCATGCTTGTCTCTTTGTTGGGATTTCGGGTAGATCAGTACTCTAGTACTCCATGCTTGTCTCCTTGTTAGGATTTCGGGTAGATCAATACCCAAGTACCCCATGCTTGTCTGTTTGTTGGGATTTCGGACAGATCAATACCCAAGTACCCCATGCTTGTCTCCTTGTTGGGATTTCGGGTAGATCAGTACTCTAGTACTCCATGCTTGTCTGCTTGTTGGGATTTCGGACAGATCAATACCCAAGTACCCCATGCTTGTCTCCTTGTTGGGATTTCGGGTAGATCAGTACTCTAGTACTCCATGCTTGTCTGCTTGTTGGGATTTCGGACAGATCTATACCCAAGTACCCAATGCTTGTCTCCTTGTTGGGATTTCGGGTAGATCAGTACTCTAGTACTCCATGCTTGTCTCCTTGTTAGGATTTCGGGTAGATCAATACCCGGGTACCCCATGCTTGTCTCCTTGTTGGGATTTCGGGTAGATCAATACCCAAGTACCCCATGCTTGTCTCCTTGTCGGGATTTCGGGTAGATCAGTACTCTAGTACTCCATGCTTGTCTGCTTGTTGGGATTTCGGACAGATCAATACCCAAGTACCCCATGCTTGTCTCCTTGTTGGGATTTCGGTTAGATCAGTACTCTAGTACTCCATGCTTGTCTGTTTGTTGGGATTTCGGACAGATCTATACACAAGTACCCCATGCTTGTCTCCTTGTTGGGATTTCGGGTAGATCAGTACTCTAGTACTCCATGCGTGTCTCCTTGTTGGGAATTCGGGTAGATCAGTTTCCCAGTACCCCATGCTTGTCTCCTTGTTGGGATTTCGGGTAGATCAGTACTCTAGTACTCGGTGCTTGTCTCCTTGTTGGGATTTCGGGTAGATCAGTACTCTAGTACTCCATGCTTGTCTCCTTGTTGGGATTTCGGGTAGATCAGTACTCTAGTACTCCATGCTTGTCTCCTTGTTGGGAATTCGGGTAGATCAGTACTCTAGTAATCCATGCGTATCTGCTTGTTGGGATTTCGGGTAGATCAGTACTCTAGTACTCCATGCTTGTCTCCTTGTTGGGATTTCGGGTAGATCAGGTTCCCAGTACCCCATGCTTGTCTCCTTGTTGGGATTTCAGGTAGGTTAGTACACATCACGTAAATACACTCAATCACTCACTCACTCACAAAGTCTCCTCCCAGATTCGAATCGAATACGTTTCTCCAGACATGTGACATGCCACTGCCCTGTGTCCAGACAGCGTTGTAACGTTCAGGCCGTAGTGGTGGACGTTCCGTCTGCAGTACCCAGGGCAGTGGGTCATGTTCAGGCCGTAGCGGTGGACGTTCCGTCAATCACCCACCACCAATCTCTCGTATACCTCACTTAGTATTTACACTCTGGACGTGTTGCAACAGGTGTCCGATTCGGTTAACTGAGTGGGTTGTACGGGAGGACACCATTACAGTCACTGTCGATCACCACTGCACGGGTGACGGTGGCGTATGACGTCTGATGGGCCGTGTTACAGGAACGCTTCAACGTTGCAGTGATAAGCACTGACGGTGGATGTCAGAGCACACCAGTGTCATGTCTATGCTATGTTCGCACCTGTGATCATCATATAAGTGAGTGAGTGGGTTTAACGCCGATTTCAACAGTATTCCAGTTATATCACAGCGTGTCAACTTGATGTGTGAGGAAAGCCCGAAGTGATGCAGGTCTCAGATGTTTACCAGTTTGGTGAAACCCACGAGCACGGGTATGGTGCTGACAAACCTAGAAACATAATCGGGGCGAACCGGGATTCGAACCCACAATCATAGGTTTCTGGCGTGGCCAAGGGACGCAACTCGGCACAGCGAATCGCGGCGCCTTAGACGACTGGGCCACCCGTGCCCCCTCCAGCGGTCTGTAAATAACCGGGTTGCTGAAGACCTATTCTCTACCCGAATCTTCACGGGTCGTAAAATACAATGCAAGAATCACAATTAAATAGGGTGCGGGGGCGGGGGGTGTTCCCGGGTGGTCAAGTGGTAATTAGCTACGTAGTCAGTTTAACCCTACGTTGCAGAGTATTTCAGTTATATCACGGCCTGTCAGGCTTCACGGGGGAGTACCGGTAAAGATCAGGGTTAGTGCTCGCTGACTTGGTTGTTGCGTATCATCGTATCAAAATTGCGTAGATCGATGCGTATTATGTCAATCACTGGATTGTCTGGTCCAGGTTTGATTATGTACAGACCGCCGTCATATAGCTGGAGTGCGGCGTAAAACAACAAAGAAATAAAAATCATGTGTGAGGAAAACCTCCGTGATGCAGGTTTTAGACATTTACCATTTTAGAGAAACCAACAAAAACGGGTAACGACAAACCTATAAACTTTATCGTGGCCAACTTATTGAACACCATTGAACATGGCCGGCGAGTGACAACGAACAATGTACGTGCATATGCATTGCACGCGAATACTCTCGAACCAAACCATAACATCACCTTAAAACGAATTCTCTTCGTGTGTGTTGGTCATTATAATCAGAAGACAAAAACACTATCAAACCCTATCTCTTTTCCCAGATCCGTGACAGCAAGTGGGTGACATCACGAAGCAGAGGTCGCTCACATCACTGACTAGCACGGAACTCTTCATCTGTGAAGGTGAAAGTGGAAATAGTGTTGGTGACAAGCGAGACTTCAAGAGATTTTGGTAAGCTGGCCTGTTTACTGATTAAAAAGTAACGTTTACGACTATGATGACTTTCTTTAGTAATAAGAAGGGTATTGCCCAAAAGAAAAAAGATATTGATCACAACGTCAAATCTCACGCTTGAAACTTCAACTGAATGGTGTCCCTAGCAACTCATTCAGACCGTGAATCAAAATGAGACAAAAATTCGACACGAGTGTGGCAGGTCTTGACTTCAAAAGGTCGGTGGTTCGATTCCCGGTCGCGTCATACCAAAAGACATTAAAAAGACGTTACCTTGTCTGGCGCTCGGCATTAAGGGGCTAAAGCAAGGACTGTTTGCCCTGGAGTCACAATACTGTGTCTGAGTAGGGTGTGCATGTTAAACTGTGGCATGGCATCTCAGCGGGCTAGCACTATAAAGTCGGCGTAGGTCACACGTACACATGCATGCATGTGGTTGTAGGAGTGAAATAATTTTAAACGCGACCTCGTCTCATTTTGATCCTCTATTTCGATATCAGTTCTACGCCTAACGCTTCAGGTGAGGAAATGAACCTGTGCCGTCAGTGTGACGCGCACATCCACACACCACAGTACTACCCAACCGACAAAAAGAAAATGTCTAACAATTACGAGTAAGTTGTTAAATTTGAGGCATGTTTTTTTAAAATTGACCTTTTATGTGTTTGAGCCGTTAGGCATTTTGAATGTTCGGTTTTATGATTAACCATATTCCTTATAAGGATCGTTTCGCGCCATTTTGCACGTGCAAGACAAACATAAGGGAGGTTACTCTAAAGAAGAACGGGAATACGGACTTATGATAAGACCTAGAAATTCTCTCTATCAATATGAATCTTTTCACAGCTAATCTCTTAATTGGTGATCCGCATGCTAAAAATGATATAGACTTAAACACGGTGGGGCTCAACGCCCAGGCGGACGAGGGCTAGACGTAGCACTACTGAAAGACTATATTTGGCCCGTGCGGCGCGCACTACTTCCGTTCTATTGCATAGATTAGGCTTAACAAACAATTCAAAAGCGCGCGATTTTAACCAGCAGTGCTTTTCAGATGTGTACTAAAAATAACAAAGTACACGAGGGGGCAAGATATGATTACACTAGTTCAAAGTTTTATGCAAACAGCCTTAGCATTATATCGTCACGGAAACGTGCAGGATCGTAGACGACGTGACGTTGCATGACGTTGCTTGGCGTGAAGCTATTAAATATTTTCGTTAGCAGTCCATAACAATGACTGGGTGCGGTGGGGTAGCCAAGTGGGTAAAGCGATCGCTCGTCACACCGAAGGCCCGGGTTTGTTTCCCCACATGGGTACAGCGTGTGTAGCCCATTGTCACAAGCGAATAACGCCCAACCCACTCACTCCCAGTCGTCTCAGGCGCTGCGATTCGCTGTGTTGAGTTGCGTCCCTTGGGCACGCCAGAAACCTATGATTGTGGGTTTGAATCCGGGTTCCGGTTATGTTTCTAGGTTTGTCAGCACCATACCCGTGCTCGTGGGTTTTACCAAAGTGGTGAACGTCTTGAGACCTGCATTACTTCGGGATTTCCTCTCACATTAAGCTAACCCGCCGTGATATAACTGGAATACTGTTAAAAGCAGCGTTTAACCAAACTAACTCACTTTGCCCGGCAGATTATTTTTTTATATTACAAAACGAATATTGGATGGTTTGTTTCTCCCGGGCAAGAGCGTTGGCAGTACATAAATTCTGAGTTTTTTGTTGGAAGTACACACTCTCTATGTACTGTCAACTGTCATCTGTAGTCGTAAGAAACCGTGTCGATAGTTTCTCAGATTCGATTGCTTAAATTCGTTATTTCGGAATACTGCGGAGTGCGACGTTGGCAAGAAACAAGAACCTATTATAAGAATCATGTCGTTCCCTTTATTTGCACTAAATAAGAAAGTATATTGCGGTTTCCAGACATCAGTTCCATTGTTATTTTAAAAGAAGATTTTTTGCGAACTTAACGATCGAGTGACAGTCATTCTCATAATCCCTGAACCATATTATTTTCGCCTTCCGTCCAGCCCTTCCTGTTATGCAGAAGCCCTAAATGAAGCAAGCCTAGGTTTTCCTCCTCCCATTTCACTGATGTTCCTTTCAATTTAATTGCAGTTATTTGTTTCTACCAAAATTATATATTTTCAGAGACTAAGCGTAAGTCTAATCGAGTGACCCCAGTGGCGGTTGAGCATTTATAAAAGTAATGAGTACGGTTCGAATCCGTTATATTCTTAAGTATATATACCTCTCCAGACGCAATACCGAATGGCGACAAATTAAACGAATTGGACACTTTCTGACTACGTGAAGCTGGCAACCAGGGAAAATCTCTTGACAAACGCTGAGCCACTGACCCAGGCGTAACTCTCTCTCGGGAACAACAACCGGATCGACGTCCTCTTTATTGTGGAAACATCAAACTTGGCACAGAGGTTAGGGGTTAAAGTTCAATAACGTGTTTCCAAACCTGACACACTTAAAACCCCATAAAAATAAATGACCATATTCAATAATGAGGATCAGACGCGCCGCTTTGGCCAACGGCAATGGCGTCGTCGTGATGGATGCGTTCGGGCACATCGCTTTCCAAATAGGAACACCGTTCTTGAAACTTCATTGCTTGCGCTCGTTACTCATAGTTTTTGAGACCGCCTCCGTGGTATAATGGGAGAGCGTCCGCCTGGAGAGTGGAAGTTCCGGGATTCGATCCCCGGCCGCGTCATACCAAAAGACTTTAGAAGATGTTGCTTGTTACCCTGGTAGTTGTTTCTCTGCCTTGCGCTCGGCATTGAGGGGCTAAAACAAGGCCTGATCGGCTCGGAGTCTGTATACTGTGGGGTACTCATGTTAAACTGCGGCATGGTATCTCAGTAGGGTAGCACTATGAAATCGGCATTAGTCCGGACTAGTACAAGCAGCCACACACATGCGCGCGCGCGCACGCACGCACGCACACACACACACACACACACACACACACACACACACTCACACACTCACACACTCACACACGTGCATGTACGTCGCTATATAAGTGCAATAATCTTGTACGCGACTTTCAACCAAGTTTCACCGCACCTAACATCATAGTTTTTAACATTAATACGCAATAAGGTCTTTTGCTGACAAAAATGCATCTGTTTGCAGGAAGATGCTCCAGCGTGTCTCATTATGGTAAGTTGTGTTCTTCAGTTTATTGCCTTTACACATTCGTTTCGGCAGCTGTATTTTCATAGTTTTATTTATGGTAGTTTTTTCCTACACAGACATAAAGGATGAGGTATCCACGGGGAGGGTGCAACGCAACTTTGTGATGCTCTGCCCGAATACGCGACTGGACGTGGAAGCTCATTGCTGAGTCTCACACTCCATCAAGATTTCAGATAGATTTGTTCGCCAGTGCCTCATCCTTGTTCCCTAGACTGGGTCGCCACTGTCTTGTCATTGTGCCCGCCATGTGTAGATAGGGTCGCCAGTGTCTTGTCATTGTGCCCGCCATGAGTTGAGTGGGTCGCCATTGCCTTGTCATTGTCCCCGCCATGAGTTGAGTGGGTCGCCAGTGCCTTGTCATTGTGCCCGCCATGGGTAGAGTGGGTCGCCAGTGCCTTGTCATTGTGCCCGCCATGGGTAGAGTGGGTCGCCAGTGTCTTGTCATTGTGCCCGCCATGGGTTGACTGGGTCGCCAGTGTCTTGTCATTGTGCCCGCCATGAGTAGAGTAGGTCGCCAGTGCCTTCTCATTGTGCCCGCCATGAGCAGAGTGGGTCGCCAGTGCCTTGTCATTGTGCCCGCCATGGGTAGAGTGGGTCGCCAGTGTCTTGTCATTGTGCCCGCCATGAGCAGAGTGGGTCGCCAGTGCCTTGTCATTGTGCCCGCCATGAGTAGAGTGGGTCGCCAGTGCCTTGTCATTGTGCCCGCCATGAGTAGAGTGGGTCACCAGTGCCTTGTCATTGTGCCCGCCATGGGTAGAGTGGGTCGCCAGTGCCTTGTCATTGTGCCCGCCATGGGTAGAGTGAGTCACCAGTGCCTTGTCATTGTGCCCGCCATGAGTAGAGTGGGTCGCCAGTGCCTTGTCATTGTCCCCACCATGGGTAGAGTGAGTCACCAGTGCCTTGTCATTGTGCCCGCCATGAGTAGAGTGGGTCGCCAGTGCCTTGTCATTGTCCCCACCATGGGTAGAGTGAGTCACCAGTGCCTTGTCATTGTGCCCGCCATGAGTAGAGTGGGTCGCCAGTGCCTTGTCATTGTGCCCGCCATGAGTAGAGTGGGTCGCCAGTGCCTTGTCATTGTGCCCGCCATGGGTAGAGTGGGTCGCCAGTGCCTTGTCATTGTGCCCGCCATGGGTAGACTGGGTCGCCAGTGCCTTGTCATTGTGCCCGCCATGGTTTGAGTGGGTCGCCAGTGCCTTGTCATTGTGCCCGCCATGGGTAGAGTGGGTCGCCAGTGCCTTGTCATTGTGCCCGCCATGAGTAGAGTGAGTCACCAGTGCCTTGTCATTGTGCCCGCCATGGGTAGATAGGGTCGCCAGTGCCTTGTCATTGTGCCCGCCATGGTTTGAGTGGGTCGCCAGTGCCTTGTCATTGTGCCCGCCATGGGTTGAGTGGGTCGCCAGTGCCTTGTCATTGTGCCCGCCATGGGTAGAGTGGGTCACCAGTGCCTTGTCATTGTGCCCGCCATGTGTAGATAGGGTCGCCAGTGCCTTGTCATTGTGCCCGCCATGAGTAGAGTGGGTCACCAGTGCCTTGTCATTGTGCCCGCCATGGGTAGAGTGGGTCACCAGTGCCTTGTCATTGTGCCCGCCATGGGTAGAGTGGGTCGCCAGTGCCTTGTCATTGTGCCCGCCATGGGTAGAGTGGGTCGCCAGTGCCTTGTCATTGTCCCAACCATGAGTAGAGTGGGTCGCCAGTGCCTTGTCATTGTGCCCGCCATGAGTAGAGTGGGTCGCCAGTGCCTTGTCATTGTGCCCGCCATGGGTAGAGTGGGTCGCCAGTGTCTTGTCATTGTGCCCGCCATGGGTAGAGTGAGTCGCCATTGCCTTGTCATTGTGCCCGCCATGGGTAGAGTGGGTCGCCAGTGCCTTGTCATTGTGCCCGCCATGTGTAGATAGGGTCGCCAGTGCCTTGTCATTGTGCCCGCCATGGGTAGAGTGGGTCGCCAGTGCCTTGTCATTGTGCCCGCCATGAGTAGAGTGGGTCGCCAGTGCCTTGTCATTGTGCCCGCCATGAGTAGAGTGGGTCACCAGTGCCTTGTCATTGTGCCCGCCATGAGTAGAGTGGGTCACCAGTGCCTTGTCATTGTGCCCGCCATGAGTAGAGTGGGTCACCAGTGCCTTGTCATTGTGCCCGCCATGAGTAGAGTGGGTCGCCAGTGCCTTGTCATTGTCCCCGCCATGAGTAGAGTGGGTCGCCAGTGCCTTGTCATTGTGCCCGCCATGAGTAGAGTGGGTCGCCAGTGCCTTGTCATTGTGCCCGCCATGAGTAGAGTGGGTCACCAGTGCCTTGTCATTGTGCCCGCCATGGGTAGAGTGGGTCACCAGTGCCTTGTCATTGTGCCCGCCATGAGTAGAGTGGGTCGCCAGTGCCTTGTCATTGTGCCCGCCATGGGTAGAGTGGGTCGCCAGTGCCTTGTCATTGTGCCCGCCATGAGTAGAGTGGGTCGCCAGTGCCTTGTCATTGTGCCCGCCATGAGTAGAGTGGGTCGCCAGTGCCTTGTCATTGTGCCCGCCATGAGTAGAGTGGGTCGCCAGTGCCTTGTCATTGTGCCCGCCATGAGTAGAGTGGGTCGCCAGTGTCTTGTCATTGTGCCCGCCATGGGTAGAGTGGGTCGCCAGTGCCTTGTCATTGTGCCCGCCATGGGTAGAGTGGGTCACCAGTGCCTTGTCATTGTGCCCGCCATGAGTAGAGTGGGTCGCCAGTGCCTTGTCATTGTGCCCGCCATGGGTAGAGTGGGTCGCCAGTGCCTTGTCATTGTCCCCGCCATGAGTAGAGTGGGTCGCCAGTGCCTTGTCATTGTGCCCGCCATGAGTAGACTGGGTCGTCAGTGCCTTGTCATTGTGCCCGCCATGTGTAGATAGGGTCACCAGTGCCTTGTCATTGTGCCCGCCATGTGCAGATAGGGTCGCCAGTGCCTTGTCATTGTGCCCGCCATGGGTAGAGTGGGTCGTCAGTGCCTTGTCATTGTGCCCGCCATGGGTAGAGTGGGTCACCAGTGCCTTGTCATTGTCCCCGCCATGGGTAGAGTGGGTCGCCAGTGCCTTTTTAATGGACCGGCTGTCAGTTGTAGCGGCTCGGTGACTTCAAGGAGGGTGTACTTATGCTGCATAGCATACATTAGTATCAATCCACCCAATTGGTATATGATGACATTCATCAACCAAGTCAGCGAGCCTGACCACCCGACCCCGTTAGTCGCCTCCTACGACAAGCATAAATGCCTGTTGCGGCAAGCATGGGCTGCTGAAGACCTATTCTACCCCGGATCGTCACGGGTCTGTGAGGGAGTGACGATTGTCAGTATATATCGCATAACACCCTACCCCCAGTTATCTCGGGTGACATCCCTTGGACTGAATTCAAGATTTCGAGATGACTAAGTCTGACAAAAAGGCACGTTTTCATGATTTTCAGTTGGGCTTAAGGATGAAGCTTGTTTAAAACCTTATTTCAGACATATCATATCAATCATTTGGGTGGAAGGGTAGCCCAGTTGTTAAAGCATTCGCTTAAAGATTGGGGTTCGATTCCCTACATGGTACAATATGTGAAACCTATTTCTGGTATGCCCCGCCATGATATTCCTGGAATATTCCTAAAAGCGACGTAAAGCAATATTTACTCGCAGTTTCAGATTAACGTTGGACAGACGTAGGTCGTTGTTGTTTACAATTTGGTGTAATCAACGATTGCGGGTATGGTGCTGGCTAAGAATTATAATCGGGATCAATCTGAAACTTCGATCTCGACCAGCAATATTTGCACGGCCTTGATCACAGTGAGAAACTGCCCAGATAGGCGTTTATCCCTATTCACTCACTCACTCACTGCAACCACGACGTTTGTTTCACTCACTGCACTGCAACCACGACGTTTGTTTCCAGCGCACAACATAATTTGTACACACAGAGAAAGACATAAAAAATTATATCATATAGACTATTTTCACAATAGGTGGATACTGAATGGATCGTTTATTTGAAAATATTTATGAAATATTTCTATTTATGAAACGTTAAGATACTCTTGAGAGACTAGAAAAACACATCACATGTTCTCTTTACTTTGACTTTTTTACTTTGACGCAATTTAAATTGGCTTTCTTGCTTAAAACATGAAGGATAAAAACAGCACTGGTATATATGTCACGTTGCTATTATGTGTGTCGTGATCACGTGACCTTCTCTTTATATGAGATGTCATAACGGCTTCACGCGTGTTGACTGGTTCCTCCTGGTGGGGACGTAGAATGTCGAGGGCTCGGGTCTCCAGGTAAGCTGATTGTCGTGTTGTTAGATGTTCGTAGTGGCCTCAGTTTTCTAATCATCAAACAATGACTTGGTTCCGTCTTGTGTTCAGATGGGATTCAATACCACCTGAATACAAGATGGGATTCAGTACCCTCTGAATACAAGATGGGATTCAGTACTACCTGAGTACAAGATGGGATTCAGTACTACCTGAATACAAGATGGGATTCAGCACCCTCTGAATACAAGATGGAATTCAGTGCCCCTGAATACAAGATGGGATTCAGTACCCTCTGAATACAAGATGGGATTCAGTACTACCTGAAATCAAGATGGGATTCAGTACTACCTGAATACAAGATGGGATTCAGTACTACCTGAATACAAGATGGGATTCAGTACCCTCTAAATACAAGATGGGATTCAGTACTACCTGAGTACAAGATGGGATTCAGTACTACCTGAAATCAAGATGGGATTCAGTACTACCTGAATACAAGATGGGATTCAGTACCCTTTGATTACAAGATGGGATTCAGTGCCCCTGAATACAAGATGGGATTCAGTACCCTCTGAATACAAGATGGGATTCAGTACTACCTGAATACAAGATGGGATTCAGTACCCTCTAAATACAAGATGGGATTCAGTACTACCTGAGTACAAAATGGGATTCAGTACTACCTGAAATCAAGATGGGATTCAGTACTACCTGAATACAAGATGGGATTCAGTACCCTTTGATTACAAGATGGGATTCAGTGCCCCTGAATACAAGATGGGATTCAGTACCCTCTGAATACAAGATGGGATTCAGTACCCCCTGAATACAAGATGGGATTCAGTACTACCTAAATACAAGTAGCATTCAGTACCACCTGAGAACAAGATGGGATTCAGTACTACCTGAATACAAGATGGGATTCAGTACCCCCTGAATACAAGATGGGATTCAGTACCACCTGAATACAAGATCGGATTCAGTACTACCTGAGTACAAGATGGGATTCAGTACTACCTGAATACAAGATGGGATTCAGTACCCTCTGAATACAAGATGGGATTCAGTGCCCCTGAATACAAGATGGGATTCAGTACCCTCTGAATACAAGATGGGATTCAGTACTACCTGAATACAAGATGGGATTCAGTACTACCTGAGTACAAGATGGGATTCAGTACTACCTGAATACAAGATGGGATTCAGTACTACCTGAGTACAAGATGGGATTCAGTACCCCCTGAATACAAGATGGGATTCAGTACTACCTGAATACAAGATGGGATTCAGTACTACCTGAGTACAAGATGGGATTCAGTACCCCCTGAGTACAAGATGGCATTCAGTACTACCTGAATACAAGATGGGATTCAGTACTACCTGAGTACAAGATGGGATTCAGCACTACCTTAATACAAGATGGGATTCAGTACCACCTGAATACAAGTAGGATTCAGTACCACCTAATTACAAGATGGCATTCAGTACTACCTGAGTACAAGATGGGATTCAGCACTACCTTGATACAAGATGGGATGCAGTAGCAGCTGAATACAAGATGGACTTCAGTACCACCTGAATACAAGATGGGCTTCAGTACCACCTGAATACAAAATTGAATCCAGTACTACCTGAGCACAAGATGGGATTCAGTACTACCTAAATACAAGATGGGATTAAGAACCCCCTGAATACAAGATGGCATTCAGTACCCCCTGAATACAAAATTGAATCCAGTACTACCTGAGCACAAGATGGGATTCAGTACTACCTTAATAAAGGATGGGATTCAGTGCCACCTGAGCACAAAATGGGATTCAGTACCCCCTGAATACAAGATGGGATTCAGTACCCCTTGAATACAAGATGGGATTCAGTACCCCCTGAATACAAGATGGGATTCAGTACCCCCTGAATACAAGATGGGATTCAGTACTACCTAAATGCAAGATGGGATTCAGTACTACCTAAATACAAGATGGGATTCAGTACTACCTGAATACAAGATGGGATTCAGTACTACCTGAGCACAAGATGGGATTCAGTACTACCTAAATACAAGATGGGATTCAGTACCCCTGAATACAAGATGGCATTCAGTACCCCCTGAATACAAAATTGAATCCAGTACTACCTGAGCACAAGATGGGATTCAGTACTACCTAAATACAAGATGGGATTCAGTACCACCTGAGCACAAAATGGGATTCAGTACCCCCTGAATACAAGATGGGATTCAGTACCCCCTGAATACAAGATGGGATTCAGTACTACCTAAATGCAAGATGGGATTTAGTACTACCTAAATACAAGATGGGATTCAGTACTACCTGAATACAAGATGGGATTCAGTACTACCTGAATACAAGATGGGATTCAGTACCCCATGAATACAAGATTGGATTCAGTACTACCTGAATACAAGATGGGATTGAGTATCCCATGAATACAAGATGGGATTCAGTACTACCTGAATACAAGTTGGGATTCAGTATCCCATGAATACAAGATGGGATTCAGTACTACCTAAATGCAAGATGGGATTCAGTACTACCTAAATGCGTGATGGGATTCAGTATCCCATGAAAACAAGATGGGATTCAGTACTACCTGAATACAAGATGGGATTCAGTATCCCATGAATACAAGATGGGATTCAGTACTACCTAAATGCAAGATGGGATTCAGTACTACCTATATGCAAGATGGGATTCAGTACTACCGAAATTTTGATTCATATGGACAGAGAAACATATCAGTAAGTAGAGGAGCACAGAGGGTGTCACGCGACTTGTCGCGTTTCTTTGACAATAAGTGATTCATTCAAGAAGATCACGACCAAACATTTAGAAATATAGGCAATGTTATGTCATGTGATCGTTCACGTAGATTCTATAAAGTCTTTAATTTTTTGTCCTATTTGATTCAGGAAAATGGCAGCGAACTCTTAATAGAAGTGAAATGTTATCAGTAAGCGACATAGTCAGCCGACGAAATCCGAATGAAATACAACCATGAAGCCAAAACACACACGTCTCGTCAACTTCCGCCGGAAACCACCGAAGTTGACCGAATGCATCTTTATGAGAGAAGAATATTGAAACAAGAGATATTTCATCTCTACGCTGTCTCGCAGTTCTCTGGCGACAGCTAGTCATGTTTTTCACTTCTTTTTCAGCCACTGGCCCTGAGCTTGTCTCGTGCTTCTCAAGAACCAGTGCGCGGTCCTGCTGTCGTCTGCCGATTAATTTCAAACAATGCCTCTGGAAAAAAACGAAATGAGATTCTTTATTTTCCAGGCACTATTTTTTGTTTGGTTATTAGTAGATTTCTACTACACATGCCTAATTACGCGAATCTAAGCAGAGTACCGATATTATTGGTCTCGACCAAATTCTCTTTAATGACAATCTCGGAATACTATTAGGAAGATCTTTTCACGTGAAGCATCAAAGAATGGACTTCCGGCAGTTATTTGTTGCTGTAGAAAATTTGATCAAACGGATTCAAAGAAATTGGTTTGCAAGTTTGCCCTATCAAGCATCTTTGTTGGTACTAACGACTGAAAGGGGATTGTTTTTACAATAATGAAATGCCGCTCTCAATGCGGTCTCCTGGGGTTGTCGCTGGGCTGATTAAACAAAAGTCATTTTTCGCAATTGTGTCGGAAGTCCTTCAATATATTCCTGTCATGTGACTGTGTTTGCATCTTTAATGTCAAGACTAATGTGTTCTTTAAAGACAATTAGTGGAGTTTTTGGGGAGTAGACCTTCACTCACGTTTGTTCACGTTAGCGTATTACGATGAACGATGATAGGGTGTTAAGATG